CTTTCTTCAAATACTTCTCTTTTTTGTCCATTTCTAACAAAGGCAATGAGTGAAGGCACAGAGCGCACACATGGTGGGTCATGGAGTGGGATGTATAGAAATGAAGGGATAGTTTTTGGACACATGAGAAGAGAAGCAAACAAAACAATTATTCGGCTCCCATGTGAGAGTTGGGGCCTTGTTTTGGTATGGTGACATTTTCAGCTTAATTTTCTTTCAAATCATCAGATGCCCTTGAGATTTGGGTTTTTGAATCGCAGCTGTTGAGAGGGCACGGTGGGGCTTCTTTCTTTGCCCATATAATGTGACTATCACACAATTTAGAATTCAATTACTTTTCATTAATTTCATCTTAAATGCTGATTATATATAGGATTTTTATGGACATAAGCATTTTTTTTAAAAAAGATAAATCATAATTTTTCCAATCATCGAAGCACTTGCGGCACTAGCCTTGTTGGAGCAGTGCATGCATGACCTGGCATTTGTTCGGGTTCAAGTTGTAGAATTGTTATCCCCCTTCCCCCAAATTCCACTCTGTTTCAAAAAACTATATTCCAATCATCAATAGGGAAATAGATGGGGTTATAGGATAAAAGATAGGGCAAAGATGTGCAACCCAGTAGAAGCTAGCGATGAAGGACGTACGCCACGCCATCAAAGGGTGTGGCCATGCTCTCATGAAAATCTGTTAAGATTACATAAATTTGTTATTATTTTTTTATTTTAAATTACATAATAAAAAATAATTTTTTTATAACTATTAATTTATTTTATTTATATGTTATATGATTTAAATTTAAAATTTCTTAGTTTTATTAGAATAAAATTATAATTAAACTATTTAAGTAGTTACATTGATGTCATAATGTTAATATTATTTTTAAAATATTAATTTTATTTGAATTAATCATTAGAAACAATTGATAATTGATTGAGTAATTGATATTCATTATTTAATAGATTAAAATTAATTTACAAGATGATTTTTTTTTTTGTATTAAAAGTTAAAGTATTCTCAAATCAACTTTCTTACAATTTAAGACTAGTCTTTTTTTAATAATATTAAAGACATATCCTAATATTAGTTTGATAATTTAAAAAATTAATTTCTTTAAATAGTGACCATAAAACTTAAATTTTAAATTTAAACTACAAAATAATGTTTATTTATCAATATATTCATCCTTAGAATTTTTATAAATTAATTTTTTAGAAATTGTACCTAATTACTTAAAAAATTAAATTAATAAAATACTAATCAAGTCAAATATAAACATTATAATTTGTGTGATTTTAACGAATTCTTAAAGAGCTCATAGGTATAACCACACCGGTCATCCGCCCCCTACAAAAACCGAACAAACGTACACCGTTCCTTTCACCAAAAAAAAAAAGAAAAAAAAAGAGCACCTCTTTCCTATTCACCAACAAAAAGGAAAAAAGAATAACGTACACCCTTCCTCCCGATGCATTTGTTTTAAATTAAAAATAAATAATCATTTAATTTAATTAATTCAATAGTTATTTTTTTTATTAAAAATAAAAAATTTTAAACTCATGTCGCATGACATACAAGTTAAATGTAATAAAAAATAAAAAATGATCTCTTATTATAAAATCAATAATAATAATAATAATAATAATAATAATAATAATGACATTACTGAGTAGTAGTTCCAATTACCCAACCGTTATTAATAAGAAAAATTGACATCTATGTCCCATAGTACTACAAAATTAGGTACATTTAAATTTTAATTGTGTGACAATGATTCTTTCTACCAATTTTAGAAAAAAATAAATATTTGTGCATTTGGATCTTGTGATCTAATGGTTTCATGTCTTGTTTAAAGTGCATTTTAACTTAAAAGTTGTGTTCGGATCCTTTAGCCTCAATGTAATCCGTTTAAAAAAATAAATAAATATTTGCATTTTATGTTCAATAAATAAATAAATAAATATTTGCATTTTATGTTCAATAAATAAATAAATAAATATTTGCATTTTGAAATGGAAATGGCTTTTGCTAAGGCTGTCCCCATTTCTATTACCTAAATAACCAATCATTTTTTTTTTTAAACAACACCAAGAAATGATAACCATAATCCTTCAACACAACGTGGAGCACTAAATACAATCCCATCAAAACGCCAGTGGAATTTTGTTTATGATTAAATATAATTTGGGGTTAGTGTAGGGTCCTCAAATTTACTTTAGAGGACGTGTATAAAATTATATATTTTAATTAATATTTTTTAAAATTAATTGTTAAATTAAAA